ATCGTTGGTGGGGTTCAGAATGCTCTTTGATTGTAGGTGAACTATAAATCCCAGCAACTACAACTCCCAAATGACAAAATCAATTTTTGAGTGAAGGACATACATTGGGTTGTTAGGTGTCTTGTGTCCAAATTTGGTGTCAATTCGTCCAGTGGTTTTTGAGTTCTGTGAATACCACAAACGAACATTACATTTTTATTTATATAGATTATTATTATTTATAGGAGTTGCATTTAAATCATTTTTACTTGCAAAATAAATGGGAAAAAGGGGTGTGGGTGGGTGGGTGGGGGTTCAATAAGAAATGAATTAGTTTCCAATTGTCTGTCCCAAAAGTGCCAAGGCATGGCTGAAAACCACTTGGCACTAAAAGAAAATCTGAATTCAGTTTTGCTGAAATAAATCATTTTTCATTGAAACTGAAAATTTACTGTAGTTAGTTTACTTAATTCATTTCCCCAACCCATTTTGGCATTAGTTGGTTAGCAGAAATACAGTAGGTTTCGTTCCTGGACACCTCTCCACACCAGGAGTTCGAGTCCCATTATATACAGTGTCATGGTAAAATGTGGTCCCTTATACAACATGACAAAATCAAGCTTTGATTTTTGGATTTTATTTTCTTTGGAGAGTTGATGTGGAGGGCCGACTGTAGGCATCCATTCACACCATTCTCTAGCTTCTGGCATTGAAAATCCTGCCCACTTTCCTTCTAGGACTGGCTGCCTGTTTATTCCGATCTGGGTCTTTGCAAAGTCAACCTTGCCTCCTTCCAGTAATTCGCATTCCACCGGAGGCTAAGGATGCAATTGCTGCCGTGTCAAAACCGCATGGCAAGTTATGTGAGCGCTGAGCAGTGGCTCGCTGCTTTTTTACAGGGCCTCAAAGAGGGCAGAGCATTCAAAAAGGGGAGACATACAAGAGGCACGCAAAGGAGGGAGAGGTTTCCATGAGATTCCTCCCTTTCGAAAAAATAATTATAAGCCAGAGCTGCTTTTCTGCAGTTCCTCCTAGAACAGCTATTCCAAACATTCCAGAAGTAGGGAGGAAAAATGGGCAGCAAACAGGAGGAGGATATCTCAATTTTACTCAAGAACCGAAAAGTTCAAGCTTCAATTCAAACTAATAAGGGGCACCCAATAATACTATGTAACATGAATTCTGTTCCTGGATTATATATGTCATTTTCTAATTGGGTCTATCGTAGAAATAAGAAAAAAGTTCAGTAAACTGCAAAAACTTTGTTTTTGCGGGACCTTCTGCAGCACCTTTTACTTTAGTTTTTCAATTACTATCTCGTAGAGTCTCAACCAATTCAACATAGTTTTTGCCAGCCACAAACTCAAGTTTCTGGAGTGTAACAACTACTTTCAAAGTAAATACAGAATGATTAAACAGGAAATAACACTTTCAAATCAGGAATATTTTTTTTTCAAATTTTGTTACATAGTGTAATTTATGTCTAATATTTTCAACCCATCCGAAGTGTCAGCAAAAAGGGCGGCCTTGATTGAACATCCATCCTATCTCCGCCTATAGACAATAATTTCCTATTGTTTTCTTAGGAAAGGAATGTTATGAGATGGATTTGCCAGGCCCTGCCTCTGCAATAGTTAGTTCAAAAAAGGCACCTTTCTATTTCTGTTTAGTGAAAGGAGACCAGATCAGATCTTGTGCCTTCAAGTCGCCTGTCAACCTAATACCAACCCCATTCGTTTCATAGGGTTTTCTAAGGGTGCATCTACACCGCAGAATTAATGCAGTTTGACACCATAGCTCCATATGATGGAATCATAGGAGTTGCAGTTTTACTTTAGCCTTCTCTGCCAAAAGGATGCAGGTGGTTTCCAAACTACAAGTCCTAGGATTCTAAAGCACTGAACCAGGACATGTTAATAACAATCATAATAATATGTAGTAGTGTTAGTAGTAGTAATAGTAAATAATAATAATAATGACACAATACGAGGATTTAAAGGTCGAACTGCTAAGATTCTGACACAAGCCAGTAAAGGTTGTGCCAGTGGTGATCAGCACACTGGGTGCAGTGCCTAAAGACCTTGGCCTGCACTTAAACCAATCGGCGCTGACAAAATTACCATCTGTCAGCTGCAAAAGGTCACCCTACTGGGACCTGCACACATTATTTGCCGATACATCACACAATCCTAGACACCTGGGAAAGTGTCCGACGTGTGATCCAATGCAACAGCCAGCAGAGTGATCTTGTTTGCTGTGGACTCATTTTGTTGTGTTTCAAATAATAATAATAATAATTATTATTATTATTATTATTATTATTATTATTATTAAAAATTACACTATGTAACAAAATTTGAAAAGTTTTCTATTCCTGGTTTGAAAGTGTTATTTCCTGTTTAATTGTGTGGTACTTACTTTGAAAGTTGCTGTTATCCTCCAGAAACTTTGTTTTTGTGGCTGCCACAAACTATGTTGAATGTGTTGAGGTTCGAGGAAATATTGAAAAAACTATCCTGTTACAGGATGTCCAGCAAAAAACAAAATTTGTGCAGTTTAATAAACCTTTCCCATGTTTTTATGATAGAACTAATTAGGAAATGACACGTATAACCCAGGAATAGAAACTGTGTTACATAGTGTAATAATAATAATAATAATAATAATAATAATAATAATAATAATAATATCTGCCCCTCCTTGCAGTTCGAGGCGGGTTACAACATGATTAAAACAGAACAATATAACACAACACCATCAAAATGCATATAACACAAAAACTCATCAAAAATATTAGTGAAAATGACTGGATACGCCTGCCGGTTGAATTGGTGTCAAACTGTATTGAGTTTATAGTATAGGCAAGGAATACTCAGGCTGGAATAGACTCATATAATCCATTTCAAAGCAGAAAACCTGAAATCAGATCCTGGGATATAGGGCCTGTCTGGAATGGCCTTTAAACCCCTTCTACACTGCCCTATATTGCAGGATCTGATCCCAGATTATCTTCTGATTCCAGATTATCAGGCAATGCAGATATATAATCCGGTTCAAAGCAGATAATCTGGGATCACATCATGGGATATAGGGCTGGTCTGGAAAGGCCCTTAAACCCTTTCTACACTGTCCTATATCCCAGGATCTGATCCCAGATTATCTTCTTATCCTAGATTATCTGGTAGTGGGGACTCATATAATCCAGTTCAAAGCAGAAAATCTGGGATCAGATCCTGAGATATAGGGCCCATCTGGAAGGGCCCTTAAACCCTTTCTACACTGCCCTATATCGCAAGAACTGATCCCAGTTTATCTATTTATCCCAGATTATGTGGCAGTGGGGACTCATATAATCCAGTTCAAATCAGAAAACCTGGGATCAGATCCAGGGATATAGGGCTGGTCTGGAAAGGCCCTTAAACCCTTTCTACACTGCCCTATATCGCAGGATCTGATCCCAGATTATCTATTTATCCCAGATTATCTGGTAATGGGGACTCATATAATCCATTTCAAAGCAGAAAACCTGGGATCAGATCCTGGGGACATAGGGCAGTGTAGAAAGGGCTTAAGGACCTTTACAGACCAGCCCTATATCCCTGTCTGGAAAGGCCCTTAAGCCCTTTCTACACTGCCCTATATTCCAGGATCTGATCCCAGATTATCTGCCTATCCAGATTATCTGGCAATGTAGACTCATATAATCCAGTTCAAAGCAGAAAACCTGGGATCAGATCCAGGGATATAGGGCTGGTCTGGAAAAGCCCTTTCTACACTGCCCTATATTGCAGGATCTGATCCCAGATTATCTTCTTATTCCAGATTATCAGGCAATGTAGATATATAATCCGGTTCAAAGCAGATAATCTGGGATCAGATCCTGGGATGTAGGGCCTGTATGGAAATGCCCTTAGCCCCCTTCTACACACTGCTCCATATTCTTGGATCTCATCCCAGATTATTTTAATATTCCAGATTATCTGGCAATGTAGATATATAATCCGGTTCAAAGCAGATAATCTTGAGATCAGATCCTGGGATATAAGGCCTGTCTGGAAATGCCCTTAGCCCCCTTCTACATACTGCTCCATATTCTTGGATCTCATCCCAGATTATCTTCTTATTCCAGATAATCTGGCAATGTAGATATATAATCCGGTTCAAAACAGATAATCTGCGATCACATCCTGGGATATAGGGCCTGTATGGAAAGGCCCTTGAGCCCCTTTTACACTGCCCTATATCCCAGGATCTGATCCCAGATTATCTGGTAATGGGGACTCATATAATCCAGTTCAAAGCAAATAATCTGGGATCACATCCTGGGATATAGTGTAGTGTAGATCAAGCCTTTGAATCTACAGCAATATAAAGATGAAAACAGTTTTCCTTGTTGGTCTCCCACCCAAATTGAGACCAGGGCTGGCCCTGCTTAGCATGCAGGGTTGAGATGGGTGCAGAGAGTACCTGGAGTCGAACTTGGTGCCGTCCTGGAAGGTCCCGTTGTAATGGTAGCGGACGAAGTCGCCCATCTGGACCTCTCGCAGGCAGACTTTGGGGATGTAGTAGCGCTCGATGACGACGTCCTCCAAGGGGCCGGGGTCCCCCAAAGCCTGGACCCCGCCAAGGCTCAGCGCCAGCAAGAGGAGGCTCAGAGAAGCCATGGGGAGAGAGAGAGAGAGAGGGCGAGAAAGAGGGGGGTGAGGATCCCTGCGAGTTGGCGGCTGGGCGCGGTAGGAGTCGCCAAAGAGGGGCGGAGAGCGGGGGAGGCGCCTGGCTCCAAAAAGAGGGGTCCAGCCCACCAGCCGAAATTCTGTAGACGTGTAAAAAAGCGGCCTCTGCTTTCCCTACAACCGCACACCCTGCAAAAAGGCCATCTCCGAGCTTCCTATGGGATCAGCTCTGCTCTTTGGAGGATGGGGAGCCTCCCAAACCCTCCCTTTTATGGTCCCAGACTTCTGGGAAACTAGTTCGAAGCGTGTCCAGGCAGCAGTCTTGACAAAAGGAAAGAGGATCGCTTGCTTGAATTAAAGAAGAAGAAAAAATAAGACTCACTCAGCCCCTCTTCCAGGTCCTAGTGCTTGCTGGGTCTCTCCCTGAGCCAAAGCTTACGTGGTCCCTCCAGGCTACAAAACTGAGAGCATGGCCTCTTTGGCTCTTTTCACCCTGGTTGAATGCGAGGAATTCAGGGCTGCTGGGCCTGAAAGGGGAAACAAGAGGGATTGGGGAATAGGAACGCTGCCAATAGGTATTCAGTGTAATATTATTTTCTCTACTTACTCTATTGGAGAGGTGGACATTGTCAGACTTATTTATTTACTAGCTTGTGGACAGTCCTGTTATTGTTTGAACGGTTTGGGACCACCCTACCTGCGTGACCGCATCTACGTCTGCGAACCCACGCGCTCACTTTGTTCATCTGGAGAGGCCCTGCTCGTGATCCCGCCTGCATCGCAAGCGCGTTTGGTGGGGACACGAGACAGGGCCTTTTCCGTGGTGGCCCCCCGACTCTGGAACACCCTCCCCAAAGATCTTAGACAGGCCCCTACATTGGCAGTCTTCAGAAAGAACTTGAAGACCTGGCTGTTCCGATGTGCCTTCCCAGAATAGGAAATCTCCAATACCAAGTCCCATAAGCACTTTATTAAAACTAAGATTGCTGCACACTGCACGCTGCACTTGCCCTATAATCCTACATACCTCCTGTCACATCAGCACTTTTAATCCTGTACCCATTACTCTGGCCCGGCCCAGTTTTATTGTGTCTTAGTGTATTGTTTATTGCTTGTTGTTTATATTGCTTTAATTGTTTTTAATTTGCCTTAGGTTTTGTATTGTTGTATTGTTGTTGAGGCCTTGGCCTTTGTAAGCCGCATCGAGTCCTTCGGGAGATGCTAGTGGGGTACAAATAAAGTTTAATAATAATAATAATAATAATAATAATTTGTCAGTGCTCCAAGTTTAAGCTAGATCCAATGTTGGCTAGGTTCAGGTGAACTATAGCTCCCACATGCAAGTCCCACCATCCATGGTGAATCCTTATTCAAACCACAACAGGATGTAGAGTGGGTCATGGTGGCTCTGTGTGTCAAATTTGGTCTTTATTGGTCATTGGTGAGGGTCACAGTGGTCTCAGGAAGTGAATGTAAGTACTGCAAGTCCCATCATCCATGGTCCTCCCTCCTCCAAACTGCAGCAGGATGTAGACTAGGTCATGGGGGCTCTGTGTGCCAAGTTTGGTCTTTGTTGGGGACCACAGTGGTCTGTGGGAACCAAAGCATTTAAAGTACAACAAATACCATCATCCATTGTCCGTCCTCCCCCAAACCTCATCAGGACGTAAAGGGGGTCATGGGGGTTATGTGTGCCAAGTTTGGTACAGGTCCATCACCCGTGCTGGTCGCAGTGGTCACTATATATATGTGTGTGTGTGTGTGTGTGTTGTTGTTGTTGTTGTTGTTTGTTCATTCGTTCAGTCACTTCCAACTCTTTATGACCTCATGGACCAGCCCACGCCAGAGCTCCCTGTCAGCTGTCACCGCCCCCAGCTCCTTCAAGGTCAATCCAGTCACATCAAGGATGCCATCCATCCATCTTGCCCTTGGTCGGCCCCTCTTCCTTTTTCCTTCCATTTCGCTCAGCATCATTGTCTTCTCTAAGCTTTCCTATCCAGGCCTGTAGCGGGGGGGGGGGGGGGGGGGTTCAACCCCCCCCCCCGAAAATTTTCAGGTTAAAAAAACAACTGGTTTACTCATGAATTTTAACTGGTTAACCAAATCCCCATGATAAGTCTATAAGACGCAAAAAAATAAGAGTCCCTCCAGAACTGCAAGCACTATCTCAAGCAAATATTGACAATTTATTCACACTGTCATTACTTGCAGCAATAGCCAATGTAGCGAAGCAACCAAGTTGGGGGGGGGGTTGAATGCTCTCATTAAGGAGGCCAGACTTGGTGGAGGTGGTTGACAGGAGCTGAAGAGTGGCAATTGGGGAACACTTGGGAGGACCTAAGTCTTGACAGACGCTGGCAAAGGTGGAGAGATAGGAGGCAGTGTTCAGCTGCAGGGAATGGGGCAGCTGAAAGTGATGATGAAAGGGTGGGGAGCAGTTCATCCTCTGATGAGGAGCTTTAGGATATAAGATGGTTTGGTTTCAGTGGGTCTTTGCAGAAGGCAAAGTGTCTTTTTGGGTGTGTATCTTTGTCCCTGCCATTACTCTCGAGCTTGGGTCCTTGGACTACAGATCTTCGTGTTTCCGTGACTTCTGGCTGATACTTCTTAAGTGCTGACTACAACTCTCCCTGTTTGACTTCGGACTGTGTTTTGACAACAACTACGCTTTTTGGACTGCTTTTTCTTACTTCGGACGTGCCTGGACTACGGACTGACTATGGACTCTGATTTTGCTTGCTTCTACATTGTTTTTTGGTGCTTTTTGGACAGTTTGCTGTATATTTTTGTTATCCCAGATTATACTCCGGGATAATCCGGATTATATTTATGTTGAGTTTTTTACGCAGTGGTTGCTATAGACTTTTAGTTTGTGCTAGAGACACTGAAGCAAGTGTCTCTAAAGCCTTTTTGTGTTTAATAAACCTGTGTTTGGAGCTTTTATATTGTTAGTCCTCTTTAATTTTCACCCAGTATGGATCCTCAGATGTTCTTGAATAACTATCTCTTTTTAATATCCACCATGCGGACCAGGGATAATGAGAATTGCAACCCAACAGCCCTTGTGGCTCTGAGGTTGGAGAAAGGTTAAATGACATTTTAACCTCAGACATCAAATCCATATACCTTGTATCTTAATCCTGACAAAACATAACAAACTGCAGCCTCCCAGATATTAATGTATCACAATTCCCATCAGCTCTAGTCATGATGTCTAATGATTAGGAATATAGGAAAAATTCACTTTTTAGTAGTACTTACTAACTGCAGTGGTCTAGAATATATACTTGAGTATATACTTCTCACCTTCACAGGATCAACTTAAAACAAGTTTAGTCCCTAAGGCTGAAAAAGTCTAAATTGAATGACAGCCAACATACCTGCCCAAGGAGGCTGCCTCATCTTGCCTTATGGTAGAGCTGCAAAATCAAGCATGAAAGGTGAACATATGCTTTTAGTATCATGGGGGAAAGCATTTTCCTATGTCATCAGAACAGAAGTCATTTACTGTATCTCCCTCTCAATGTTTTGTGTGTTCAAAAGATTTTCTGTTGGAAATGACAACCTTCACCGAGCCTTCTCTAGCAATCTGTGAGAAAGGAGGGGGAAGAAATACAGGAAATAAATAAATAAAATTGTCTATAATCTGGTTGCTTAGTGTTTCCTATATGTATGTGTGCAGAAGTCATTGTTATTATGTTTGTGTTTAACTGTTAGAGTATGTATTTGTGTTTGTAACAGTAGTTAAAACTGGAGTCATCTGGTTTGAATCCACAGTGAGCGTTGCCAAGGAGACGAGGCTGGCTAGCTCATGAGAGGGAGAAGTGGGCGGAGCCAAGCAGGAAAAGTTATGTGCGTTTTTAAAAAAGGCGAGAGAGTAAGGCTTGGAAAGGCCTGAGAGAGAGGCTTGTGTGTGAGCGGCTGGTGTTTTTTCAGTCTAAGAGGGCTGAAGAAAGAAACCTGGCCAGATTCTTTAGTCAAAGAAGACTAAGTTAAGATCCCTAGTTAAGGAAGGACTAGAGATCAGAGATTTGATCGAGGGAAGATCAAATTGAAAGGCTATTTATAGTAGTGAAACATTGTTCACTAGAGAGCTTCACCTCAGTGAAAGTTAGCCACAAGCTGTGTTATCTGGAAGAGTGGACTATATTATAAACCACGTAATATTCAAAGTTCCATAAGTTATTTAACAGCCTGCAACTATAAGCTTTGTACACAATAAACTTGTTGTCTTTTGTTGAAAACCGTCTCATCTCAACTAATCTGCATCTGTAGAGCCAGATCTCATCGGTGGTACCTCAAATACCTCACGTTGGTGGCAGTTACCTTAATTTACTAATAATAATTGGCCTCCTCCATAATATACTCTTCTACACAATTGAGGCCTGAGGTAAATTCCCTCCATAACATCCACATCTGTACAATTGGTGGCAGCGGTGGGATTAAAAAGTGCCTGAGGTAAAATACCTCCATTATTAGGGCCTGCCGTTGCCAACCTCAGCTACACACAAGCACCTCCTCGTAATTGGTGATAGCGGTGGGGATCTTCAAAGATAAAATCCCTATACCCTGTCCATCGTTGAGTTCATATCTTCCCAGTATGTATGTTCTGATGTGCAGATTCCTTTACTCTATGGTTTCTGAGAAGTTATAAAAGGGGTTGCAGACTTCATGTTCTCTCTCTCCTTTTGACTATGTGACCTGTTGATAGCTGTTTTGTTACAAGAGAGATGGCCTGGCCGGCTGGCACAAAAATCCACCTCAAAGATATTTGAAACTGGACTAATAAGTTCTTGTATCTCTGTATGCTGACCACATTACTTTGGGAGTAAACCTAATATGTTATTTCCATCAAAGTCTACTTAATATTTGTCTCTTGAGTTCATGATATTAAACAAGCTGTTTCATGGGAAAGTATCTTTTTTGGGCATTGAAAAGAAAACACTTCTAAAGATTTGCACTGGCAAATCTCTGTTGTCCTGACAGATCAGAGATTGCAGGTTATTCAGTCTAACAACTGAAACAATTGCCTAGCATAATTATATTTGGTTGTATACTACAAGAGGAGATTCTGCTCTAAAGGGTTATGCTCTCTGTATGGGGTGCCAAATGGAACTGTTTCATTGTTGTTATATACTTTTTAATCAACTCAGGGGCATCTTAAACACCCGTAAACATTTCACCACTTGGAGAAATTGAATATATTAACCATATAATTGGCATGTCAAGAAAGTGCGTATTTCAAAATATGGACAAACATGTATTTATCATGTGAAATGCTATACAGAGCCATAATTGTGATTTATTAATTGAATTTTGTTGTCAAAATGGTTGTCCTAATTAAATAA